ACTGTAGCCCATCAGAATCCGACTGTAGCCTGAAAAAATTCTCTCTGATCTACGAGAAATAATTCACACAGAACTACGTGGCTGTGACGTCTGAGGGTAAAAAATCGTCTATTTTTGCTGAAGTGTTTTCACAAATTGTTTGGAAGATGTTATCAAAACAGACGTAAACAAGCACTTCTCAGGACGGAGCGCAGGGCTGACTCAGGTTGGGGTTTATCTAACCCGTCCCACTGCTTTCAGGAACAATAACAGGCTGGACGTGTATATCTGAGAGAGCAAGGCGTGTCTTACGAAATGCCTTGTTTCACCTGGAGTCGACTGAGCTGACAACTCCATTCCCTCTGCCACTCTGTTCTTCTGTTTACCCCTAAATTAACCCCCGTTCACCCCGAGAGGTGTTTTCAGTCTGCTGACACACCGCTGGAGCTGCCTGTCACTCCTAATCCAGCGCTCCTGCACAGGGATTCCTGCGTCTTTCCATTCTGTCACCTTTCCTTCTCCTGGATCCGAAGGGTGTAATTAGAAGAATCCGAGGCTAAAGGCTGGGTTTGGAGGAGGACGCTGGGCTTTTGTTTGTGCACTCGGTTCTAGAGTGAAGAAGAAAAGGCTTCCATATGACTTCATCATTCCTAAAGCTGCCAGGAAGTTGAAGTCAGTCAGGTTCAATTTTTTTCAATTCAATTCCGTGTGTACTGCTTTCTGTGGGAGCCATTGTCCCAAAGCAGCTTTCCAGAAATGTGGGTGGTGCCTTCTAATGAGCATCGCACAAGGAGACAGTTTCAGGAAAAACTCCCTAAGAGCGTGGGGCGGATCCACGGAGAGGAACGGAAACGCAAAGAAAATCTTCCTAAGAGGTCTTTTTCCCAGCTGCCCACTACTCATGTCAAACATGATCCGGAGATCCATTTTTCACTCTCGCAGATATCTCACATACCTTTCATAGTGGCGTTAAGCATCTTCCAGTTCAGCCTGACCCACAGCTCAGAGTTTAGAATCCAAACACAATCCAACCCCATGTTCCCTTGTCTGAATCAGACAGTAGCCTAATGAAAAAATGAAAATTCTCTCTGAATCCGAATGTAGCCCCAAAAAATCCTCTCTGAATCCAACTGTAGCCCATCAGAATACTTTCTGAATCCGACTGTAGCCCCAAAAAATCCTCTCTGAATCCGACTGTAGCTCGTCAGAATTCACTCTGAATCCGACTGTAGCCCATCAGAATTCTCTCTGAATCCGACTGTAGCCTATCAGAATTCTCTCTGAATCCGACTGTAGCCCCAAAAAATCCTCTCTGAATCCGATTGTAGCCTCAAAATTTCTCTCTGAATCCGACTGTAGCCCGTCAGAATTCTCTTAACTTAACTTAAAGGGAAACTCAGAACACAGATTTTATACAATATCTGCATAATTCAGTTGTAGAGAAACTTACAGACTCAGATGTCTTTACAGTGGTGGTGATAGGAACCAGGGGTCGCCATGACTACAACACAAATATAGACATTTTATTTACTATCCAGAACCACCAGTGAACCTACACGAGTCTTCTGAGTTTATATGGAATGTTGATGATGGAAAATAGTGGAAAATCTGAAATAATAAGTTTTCTTTGGGGACTATTTTGCCTCACAGCACCCTGCGTATTATGTATCCCTCCACCATGAATGGAGTTTACAACCAAAATCTTCTCAAAACTATCATAAAACAGTGTCTCAGTCATCAGGCAGTGAATTCATAACCATTTTCTGTGAGGGAGCTTTTAGAGGTGGACGTCTGGTTCCTATCACCACCACTGTGAACAGTTCTGACTCAGTAAGTCTCTTTCGAATGGATCATTTTGCATCTTAAATACTTAACTATGCAGAAAGGTGGAAAAAGTCTGTGGAAGTCCAGTTTAAAACATTTTTTAGGGTGACACTAATTTTCATGCTACAGTATATCTGTTGGTTTGACCTCACCGGCCACCGGTCAGGAGAAGCCTATTTCTTCTAGAGAGAAACTCGTGGACCACAGAGGAAGGGGAGGAGAAATATTCCTCGGTGCGTCTGATGAAAAGTTGATGAACAGTCTGAGGGAACAGCCTCCCTAAAAGAACGCCACACGCGCTCACACCCGGCGGCGTGCGAGCCCCCCGGCTCCCTCATAAATATCAATTTTAACATTCAGCCCCAGCAATCGATACGATTTAAACCATGGAATTCAGCTTAAGGAGTTTGCTTTATCTAATTGGCCTTCACTGAAAAATGAAGTGGGCTGCTGGTCAGCGCGGAGGGGGCGGCGTTCTCCCGCTGTCCGCGGAGCGTCATCAATCTCCACCGACCAAAATCCCTCTGACCGCCCATTTGTTTCTGGAGCATGCGTGATCCTCCCATCCCATAATGCACCCCTCTCTCGGAGGAGGACTCATCCTGCCATCACCTCGTTAGCCAGGAGGCCGAGACCCAGACGAGTTATAAATTGTTGCGTATAAATTATTATTTTTTTCTCCGGAGGAGAGAAATCTATTGTGAAGTTAACTTTTATAGAGCTGTGCATAACAGAAAGCGATGGATGGCTGTGTTGGAGGTGAGGAGGGAGGCAGAGATTCATTTATCAGAGTAAGGAGATCACAGACGCTGCAGCCCAGCCTCAGCCAGCCACTGTCCGCCGAGGCCGCTGAGCCAAAACGGCATTGAGTCGCCTGAATGTTAACGAGGCTATCCCAAGGAATATCAAACCTTCTCTGCTTTATTGAAGTAAAAGTGTGTAGACATCATTTCAAACTGTACAGTTCACTGTCCGTTCATGTCGGTCGTGAAAACATTCTGAATTCATTGTTTTTGTGATGTCAGACATTTTCCTCTGTCCGTTTAATCAGCCTACAGCAGTTGAGCTCCGCCTAGTCACGTTGAAGTTATAAGGAATGTTTCAGCCTGGCAGAATACAGAGCAGCCAATCAGAACAGAGCTCATTTACATATCGCTGTTGTCGGAAGAAAACCTCGTATCTCCAAAATGACAACTTTACAGGAAAAGGAAAAATCCTACTTTACTTTTAATGTAAGTCAATGGAACCAGACCGTAACATTCTGACCACCTCCTTGTTTCTACGCTCATTGTCCATTTTATCAGCTCCACTTACTATATAGGTCACTTTGTAGTTCTACAGTTACAGACTGTAGTCCATCTTTTTCTCTGCATACTTTGTTAGCCCCCTTTTACCCTGTTCTTCAGTGGTCAGGACCCCCATGGACCCTCACAGAGCAGGTACTATTTGGGTGGTGGATCATTCTCAGCACTGCAGTAACACTGACGTGGTGGTGGTGTGTTAGTGTGTGTTGTGCTGGTCTGAGTGGATCAGACACAGCAGTGCTGCTGGAGTTTTTGAAACACCTCAGTGTCACTGCTGGACTGAGAATAGTCCACCAACCAAAAATATCCAGCCTACAGCGTCCTGTGGGCAGCGTCCTGTGACCACTGATGAAGGACTAGAGGATGACCAACACAAACTGTGCAGCAGCAGATGAGCTATCGTCTCTGACTTTACATCTACAAGGTGGACTGACAAGGTAGGAGTGTCTAATAGAGTGGACAGTGAGTGGTCACAGTGTTTAAAAACTCCAGCAGCACTGCTGTGTCTGATCCACTCATACCAGCACAACCCTGGGTGTTTTGAAATTATATCAAAAACTGAAAAACGTCAAAAATGGAGATACGAGGTTTTCTTCTGACAACAGCGATTTATCAGTCTTAAAGGCACAATAACAGAAACAGCCTGTTTCATTCTAAGAGATAAAGAGACGTTTGGAGATGGTCGTATAGAAATGAGTTTTTTTTTTACATAAGACCACACAAACATGAGAAGTGGACCTCTAAAAAAATAAATTAGATTTTTTAACTTTTGTATAAAGTTCCTCATCATGTAGTTTAAGCATAGTTGGTGCCCCGTGTGAAATGCAGTGTTTCAGTAGAGCAGTTTTAAAGAACAGTATTTTCCTTCTCTTCCCTTCCCAAAAGTTAAAACATCAGCCAAAACATATTTGATGTTTGAAGTTTGCTTCCTTGGTTTTGCACTTGAGCTACGAGGCTAATGTAGCTAACAAGTAATTAAGGCTGAAAGATGAATTGCTTTTATATCGAAATCGTAATAAATGTAAGAGAGTGCAGTTTTCAAATCGCAAGAGCTGCAGTTTTTAACCCGTGTTTGGTGTTAAACATTTTCATTGTTTACCAAAATAAAAAAAATGATGTGCTTTATTATTATTTCAGCCTCAGATTCTTGTCCTTTGCTCATTTTCTGTGAAGAACATATAAAATAACCCATTTTCAGTGTCTTCACTCTGTTCACCCCCCACACATTTATATTACACATGTGGTGTTGGGCTGAACCCACGGGGAGTAAAAGTGTGGAGGTGCTGTGTCCTTCACTCTGTTCTCCTCCTACATGGCCTGCTGTTAGTGTGTGTGTGTGTGTGTGTGTGTGTGTGAGGGTGGACAACATGGACAGGCTGCTGACTGGCTACAGCTGCTAAAGTAGAACCCTACACTGGACACTCGTGATATTTTAAACATGGTATTTTTACATAAACTGTTATGGCTGTATTGATTTAAACAAACAATAATGTGGTGGGTCCAGCAGACCACTGAGTAACAAACAGACACCACACAGGGGTTAAGAGTTATAGACTACATTAAGTTTTAAGAGGGGAAATTTAATAACACAAAGCTTGTAAACTGCCTTTAGATGAGTTAGACCATTCAGAGGCAACCAAACCTCCATATGTTGTGATGTCATAACCACAACATACTGGCAGTCTGGCTCACCACATTCAGGGTTCAAGCTTTGGAGGCGTGTCTGCAGATTCTTCGAGGAGCTGAAAGTGAGTCTCCTGAAGAGAATGGAGGCTGGAATAGAGCTGTTTGTTTTCCTTTTGAAAGGAAATGAAATGAATGAAAGGTGGTCTCTGACTTTCGCACAGCCCTGTATGTGTCGTAGAGTAACGTGTGTGACTGTGTGTGTTTCAGGGTCGCGCTCTGCTACACTGGGCGTGTGATAGAGGGCATAAAGAGCTGGTGTCTCTCTTACTGAACAACAGCGCTGACATCAACAGCCAGGTCAGTACACCTGCACGCCCTGTTCGAGGTATCTAGAACCTAACTGGTAGGTGTTTTGGCCCAAGAACAGCTGGAACATCTCTCCTCTGCTCCATATTATTCATGTATCAATATTATCATTATATGTTCAGGAATGGACGTTATCAGCATTTCACAAATCAACTAATAACTAATGATTAGTATTCAGGTAGTGGAACGTCATTTCAGGGGTCATAACAAAGGCCACGAACAGCACATACTGTGAAAATGTATAAAAATGATCTTAGGCTGTTGCAGTAATTCAAAATCGTATCAAACAAACATTCTTTTGGAATGAAACCTCTCACACAACACACGTTATCATTTATCTGTCTAGTCAGCTAAAATTGCAATATCTATGCTCTTTTTAAAATTGTGAAAAACACTGAAGTCCTCATACCAGGAGTCAACAAAACACGGCTGCGGAGCCGCATGCGGCTCTTTTACTGCCCTGTTGTGGCTCCACAGCAGAATCAGATTAGTAGGTAAAAATAAAATAATCCTCCTTTACAGTAAAATAAAGCTCTGCTGATCGTTCAACACAGTTTAACAATAAATGGTCTTAAACTCTGGAGTTAATGTAGAACTGCTAATTCACCCTTTAACCCTGAAGATCAGCGCAGACTGCTGGTCACCATAGCAACACAGACAACAATCTCACCTAGCTAGTAGCTAACGAAACAGTAAAGAGAGAGATTTAAGACCAACATCGATAATTTGGAGACGATGGACTTATTTACATTTATAATCACTCCAGCTGGTTTCCTGATATGTTTAATCTGCAGTGAGAAACTGACAAACACTAAAAAGTCACGAAGCTGAAGTCAGTTTCTCTTTCAGATTTTTCCGTTCCACCTTAAATGGTGCAGCAGTTACATTCTGGCGCCTCAGGCACTGTTTAAGGTGGAACCAAAAAATTCAAACAAGAAGCTGGCGAATGAGACTTCCTCCTCGTAAAAAGTTGAATGCTGAGAGGCATTTTACAGGAAATTGTTATACTTTGGCGAAAAAGTTTCCTGCTGGAGATGCGAGAAAAGCAGCTATAGCTGAGCTAAAGCTTAAAGCAGAGGAAAGTAAGTCTGCGTTTATATTATATTTATATCCTATATTAGTACATTAACACACACTGAGACATATTTACAGCCAAGATGGTAAAATGGACATAAAGTGTTGCGGCTCCCAAAGTGGATTGATTTTTATTAAAAGGACAAAATGACTCTTCTTAACATTTGGGTTGCGACCCCTGCCCCATACCTATGGATATGTTTCTAAATTATATACAACTCTTCAAAAGTTCAAAATCACTTTCTTTATTGACAAGTTTGGTTATTTTGTCTGTCAGGGGTCCCCAAACTTTCTAACTTGCAGCCCACACAACTGACCACAAAAGCTTCCTTGGCTCACAAAATCTTGCAAACAAATATAATAATCAATGTATCCCGTCAATTCTGCTGATTTTGCAACATAATGCAACACACTAAACACTAAAATATAACAGAACATTTTCTAACTGACCTAATGGATTAGCTAATGTTGTTTGGCAGCTACCAAGCGCCGGATGACATACTGAAGAAATGAAAGTTGCAGATTAAAAGGTTTAGATCTATATTTGTTTTTCCTCCAACTGACACCATAATTTGTTTGGTTTCAACCTTCACTTGAAAAGACCTGTGAGTGTACAGCATGGAGCGGCATTCAGTTCTCAGACATGATAAAGGCCTTTACAACCCATTCGTTTATGTAGTGTTTTCCGGCAACAGTAAACTAATTCGAGCACGTCTATAACTGATAATATCTTGCAAACCAAACGCAAATCTGACTTTTTATTTATGTTCTGTTCGATTTTTTGCCCATTGACGGTCGTCATAACGACAACCAAGCTGCCTGTTTCTGAGCGACTGGAACTTTATGAGAAACATCAGAAGGATTTTTTTTTGCCTTCTGCTTCCTCATGGATGGTTTTAGCATCTTGAAATTGAGTTGAGCTGTGTCTGAAACTCCAGCTTCTGAATGAAGTGGTTCCTTCTGCCTTTAAAGAATGGATAGTAGCCCACTCAAAGTCATCATTTACCATTTTGTAAGGAGCAAATACACCAATCAGGCGTAACATTCTGACCACCTCCTTGTTTCTACGCTCATTGTCCATTTTATCAGCTCCACTTACTATATAGGTGCACTTTGTAGTTCTACAGTTACAGACTGTAGTCCATCTGTTTCTCTGATACTTTGTTAGCCCCCTTTTACCCTGTTCTTCAGTGGTCAGGACCCCCATGGACCCTCACAGAGCAGGTACTATTTGGGTGGTGGATCATTCTCAGCACTGCAGTAACACTGACGTGGTGGTGGTGTGTTAGTGTGTGTTGTGCTGTGGGCAGCGTCCTGTGACCACTGATGAAGGACTAGAGGATGACCAACACAAACTGTGCAGCAGCAGATGAGCTATCGTCTTTGACTTTACATCTACTGACAAGGTAGGAGTGTCTAATAGAGTGGACAGTGAGTGGACATAGTGTTTAAAAACTCCAGCAGCACTGCTGTGTCTGATCCACTCGTACCAGCGCAACACACACTAACACACCACCACCATGTCAGTGTTACTGCAGTGCTGAGAATGATCCACCAAACAAATAGTACCTGCTCTGTGAGGGTCCACGGGGGTCCTGACCACTGAAGAACAGGGTAAAAGAGGGCTACAAAGTATCAGAGAAACAGATGGACTACAGTCTGTAACTGTAGAACTACAAAGTGCACCTATATAGTAAGTGGAGCTGATAAAATGGACAATGAGTGTAGAAACAAGGAGGTGGTCAGAATGTTATGTCTGATCGGTGTATCTTTCATCTGAAAACATTCTACCTGTTTGTTTGTTTGTTTTTGTTGCGCCGCGATGAGGCTCGGTACTCACTGCTGTGTTTTTCTTCATTTTGGTTTATACTTTGGTTTTCATGGTTTTCTCATTCTGAGATTTGGTGACCTGTATCATTTGTAGGTAGTTCAGCCTCGGGATCTTTTTTGAAATACCCTGTTTGTACCCATTTATCCATGACATAAGAATTCTATACAAATGAAAAGAGAAACATTTTACATTGACTTGCTGTGAAAATGTAAACATAGTGAGATGAGATCAATCCAAATATGCTCTTCTATTTTTGAAAAATTTTAAATAAAAATATATAGAATAACATTTGGATAAATGTGGCAGTACCACTGTGGCCCACAGTTTGAAAACCACTGTTACATACAATATAACTACTTGTGTGGATTTAAATTTTGCATATCATTCTCCAAAAGATGTTTAGATGTTTTTTATTAAGTATTTCAAGGTTTCTGTGAACAGTGTGTTATTAAATAATAAACAATATACTCAAATCTGTTTACAGATCCATTTATATATTTTTTTTAAAGTTATCTGCCTTGAAATGTGATCATAGGACAAATTCTAGGTGTTCATTTTATCATAACTTAGTCCTCAGTTTTCTGCAGTCTCAGTGTTCTGCAGTGTTCTACGGCTCTGTGATTTGTGTGCTTGTCACTAAACCTAATATTTTAACGAAACTGCATCATGAAGAAACAGCCTGAAAAGACTAGTGGAGATGGATCAATAAGTGGTGCTGTGGCAGAAATTGAAAAAGTGAGGCCTGCTTGCAAAATAGTGTTTGGACCCCGGGAGTTGCCGCCTATTGCTATATTATTGTTAATACAGTACTGTGCAAAATTGCTTTTTGGGAGATATTTCTGAGGAGGTTAGATATCAGATAATCCACTTGCATAAAGAAGGACTAAGTCAAAGAACGAAAAACAAAAGTTTCCAAACTAGAGTTCACAAAATGATAAAAAATAGAAAAATCATTTGTGCTAGAATGCTGGAACTGGACATCTGAGATGTGGAGTAAAGTTTTCAGAGTCTAAATTTGTCAGTGGAGTCATGGATTGTGAGAAAATGCTAAACCAGCTTCTAAGACTGAACTTTGGAGGTGTGTCTGCAGATTCTTTGAGAAACTGAAAGTGAGTCTCCTCAAAAGAATGGAAGCTGTGGACACAATAGATTTAGAACAGTACTGTGTGTGTTTGTATGTATATATATATATATATATATATATATATATATATATATATACATACATACAATGTATGTGTATGTATAAAATTGTAATACTAACCAGCAGCATGCTTGTATCCCACTGTCTCCCAGCTTCACACAGAAATCCGCTCAGCCTTAAACACCCTCAGGTATGTGTGCAGCTGTGGCGCTGCAGGAGCTGCAGTTATGGGGTTTTAAAGGCTGATTGAGCTTTGCTGCTTTAAGCCGTCTGAACCTGCACGCTCGTCCTGATCCTCAATAAGACAAATCAATTGGAAGTAATCAGCCAAATTGTTTGCATTATACAACTCATATAATCAGAACATTTGCAAATGACTTTCATTTTTTTTATTGTGTAGGCGTGGATCAAAGCTTGGCTCAGACAAAGACATCAGCGCTGCTTTGTTTTTACATTTAAGCAGATAAAAATCCACTGCAGACGGGCCTCTGAAGCCCCGTAAGGAGGGACAGTGTGATATTATGTCATGTCCTGCTGGAATACTGACAGAAAACTGGACCTCCATATTTAACAAGAATCATAACCTTCCCTGCATGCTTTTCTCCTCTGTGTCCAGCAGCCTTTGGATCGCAGCACAAATTAAGCTGCAATCTATAATTCGTGACTTTGTGATACTGACCTCTAAATGATCAGAGAGGGTCATTTCGGTTTGATTAGCACATCATTCGAAAGAGTCAGGAATTCAAACGAATCGCCCACTGAGCCTGGTAGACGTACTGTAAACTACATCATTTTAATTTACCATTTAAACAACAACCTTATGATTCAGTTATAAATCGTAAAGGTTATTACCCAGTAACTAGTCAGTTACTACTGTTAATTATTCAATATCTACTATAAATAATTCAGTATCTGCTACAAATTATTCAGTGTCCACCATGA